GCTCAGTTCGTACTACGAGTCGACCCGTTTACCCGGGTTTTGGGTGTAGTTGTGTGCTTAGGTTGTATTTATGTTTAGTTAAAAGGTTCTTTAATGTTAAATGCTTCCATTTTTTTTAAAAATTATTGTTATTGTGACGAGTTGGAGTAGAGGTTGACCTAGTTCCACGATAGGCGCCATCACGACGGTTGATTTTGGGTCATGACAGTAACTCTTCTAAACTTAGTGCTGAGGGTATGAAACCTCGAATTTACGTGTTATGTGACTGGTATTGAGGTGATGCACATGTTAGGTGACGGGCGTGTGGGCGTGCACCATATGAATTGTGACTCCGTTGTTTCCATGGCACTTTATAGTGGTCCTATTTTGTTGATATCCGGGTTTTCACATAGTGATAAAGTAATTGAGCTGTCAATCATGCTAGATATCATGCTTAGGCTTTATGCCGATACTGTTGGAACCCATAGTGGTCATTTCTTGTTGTCATCTCACTAATTTTGCTAATATTTCGTGCTCAGTCATATTCATTCATTCATATCATATCTCAGTCTTTGTTGTTATTTATTGATACATCATATCATTATTGTCAGGCTAGTTTTCATGACATTGTGAGCCCGTGAGTGAGACCGGAGAGATTGATGACTAAGTGAGGCCGATAGCCTGATTATGAGTGACAGTTATGGGATCGGGCTGCACGCCATAACAGTTATATTGAGTTTATGATAGCGCTTGGGTTGTAGGAGCCCTCTGGAGCCTGTACACACCCCTAGTGAGCGCGGTTGATTATATTGAGTGATGGATCTTCCCTGGTCATGTATCTTGTCCGAAGCATTATATACCTGGAGATGGATCTTCTCCACGGGCTGGATTGGCCTACTCAGTACTAAGTGATTGTTGGTCAGTTGATGTATATATTCCGGGATGGATCTTCCATGGCCATATTGGCCATATACGGTACTGAGTGATTGGTCAAGATGAGCATAAAGTGTGAGACGGTGAGATTGAGTACTCTAAGAGTGTGAGTACATGATTCATCTCTGAGATACATATCATTGACATGCACACATGACATACAAGCATAAAGATGCATTTTTTCTCATGCTGTCCGGTATCACGTCATTCATGGCTTCTCACACATATTGGTATATGAGCATAGAAAGATACTTTACACTTGCTATCTCGAAAGAAAATGAAATATCTTATTTATTGTGGAAGGGATTTTTAGAAAAATTGCAGTTTTCAAACTATCTCATATTTTTCGATGATTTCGGTAAAGCATTTGGGTTTCACCGATATACTTGAAAAGCGGAACTATTTTCGGGAATTTGAAAAAGCTTAGCAGTTTAAATTCCGAGTTACTTCTTTTGTTATTTGCTTTACATTGTTATGAACTGCTGTTGGTTATTGGTGTTGGACCCGACCTATGTTTCAGCTCGTCACTACTTTTAACCTAAGGTTAGATTTGTTACTTATTGAGTACATGTGGTCGATTGCACTCATACTACACTTCTGCACCTTGCGTGCAGATGTTGGTTGCTATTGTTGCTGTGTTCGATGGGAGCTGGATTTGAAGATGTACATGCGTCCCTGTTGTAGCTGCCTCTTGTTTGTTCATGGTAGCCTTAGATTTATAAAACTCTGTTTATGTACTTTTCAAACAGAAGATATATTTACTTCATATCAGCTTTGTAAACTCTATTCTTAGGAGCTCATGATTTGTACTACCAGTCCTTGGGGAATGTATAAGATCCGGATAATTTCTTTTGTTTAATTTGTCTCATTAAAGGTTGTTGGAATTGGATAGTTATTAGTTGGCTTACCTAGCGGGTTGGGTTAGTTGCCATCACAACAGTTGGATTTTGGATCGTGACAATTTAAAAGTCTATGGAACTCAATCCTTGAAATCTAAGAACTCCTGAATTTACCACCTAGTTCTATTTATCAAAAGTCGCATGATTCTAAGTTGAAAATATTTGTTTCCTAGGCTCAAGTTTATTTAGAAACTTGGCTATCTTAAGTTTAGGTTCAGTGCACTAGCAGTTTATAGATTTTTCACATTAAATTGACCTCTAATAATAGGTAATTCCTCGTATCAACCTTAAAATGGTGACCTGGAAAATAGATAAGTGACCTATCACTTGTTAAATTCCATTGATAGTGTCATGTTTTTTGCACTGTCATTGTAAGTAACTTAAATTCTTACCAGAAAAGTTAAGTAGCTGTGTAGTTTTGTTTTTGCTTTTCATCCTCATTTTCGTCGTAAGAGAGCAAGTTGAGAGGGCAGAAAAAGGCAGAAGTGGGCACCTATGAAGAATATTGCCAAGCAAAATCCTAGATAGACCATAAGGCAATAAGGATATGAGTTCATTCTATTGCCAATGACTAAACAGGAGTCATTCTAGTGTACTCTAATAATCAGATACCAACAAAGGGGAAAGGGAGAAAGCAAAAGTGAAGAAGAAAATATCATCTTATAACTAAGCTCAAATCTCATATTTGACTGTTTGAGTGATCAAGCAGTTTGTGTATAGAAACTATGATTTTCAGAAATCTCGCAAATAATAAGTGGACATTCAATCCCAACTCCCAAGTAATAGGGTGAAAAGGGGCAACCTATATTCAGACACAATAGATGGAACAAGTACTGATCGATATGTAAGAGAGAAAACAGTCATGTGGTTTTACAAGAATTGTGAGTCAAGAGCTCATTCGAAAGAATGCAATACATACAAAAGAATCAAAATGACCTTGCAAACAATTCTTGTCTTTACAAGTCATTGGAATGTAGGATCCCATGACTTTAAAATGTACTGTTTCAACAGAGATCCTTCCAAAATCCATCAACCCTTTTGCAGTCTCTCACCTTAGAGAAGGAAGGTGAAAAGAGCTTGAAATATTGATTTTGCACTTAGGATTTTTGGCGGGTGAAAATCTTCCTTGCTTGTCGATAACAAACTGTTGATATGATCCCCTTGTCTTCCCTGGAAAACCAGAATAAGTTGTATTAAATCCAAAGAATAAGTTTGAATTCAAAAGCACTCCCTTGTCTCGATGTTCTTTATGGATCGTACAGCCAAACAAGTTTGAAGGAGTTAGGGATGACGTTGTCATAATTCTATGCTACCTTAGCAGCATCTTTTAGAGGACCCCAGCATTCTACACGATTGTACTTCTTCGAGCTAGAATGGAAATAGACTCGAACAATCGCATTCATTAGTTCTTCATGCTCCTTGAAGAAATCTGAATCCCCATAGAGCACAGCCTCAAGTACCTGGCAGTTCAAAATCACGATCCTAATTAAGAGGGTAAGCAAACTGTAGACAAAATTAGAGGTAAAAACCAAATTACAGTTCCGCAGTTGAATGAAAAAGAAGTCCTTAAGCTCATCGAACTGGCAGCAATATACTGATTTTGTTTACAAGTAGTAATACACTGGAATAGTTACAGAGTCAAAAGGAAATTCCAACCAGGTTCCTAATTCAAAGAATAAATTCATGAGTAGGAAAATTTTGGGAAATAGGAAGACATATTTGGTAAGAAGAGCAGTTTCTTAAGCTCATCTCTTTAGTTGTTTGGATAACTTCATAAAGGCAATATGAGCCTAACATTGTGATAACTTTCAGTTATGCCATTTGTTACATTAACTTGACAGAGAGGGTTGTGTACCAAAACCTGTGCTAAGGACTAAGGCATAAACAGAACAATTATATTCTTGAATTTGAGTTATCTGTCCGTTTCCGTTTTGAGGGGCTCATGTACACTGACCATGCAATTTTCTGGATTTAATATTAGCGCCAGTAAAATAATTCAAGAAGTATTGCTTGGACAAGAGGTATATAACCTCCCCTTTATTTGGTCAGTGTCCTGAGCTATACTTTCTAAGCAGATATTATGAGTTTTATCAATGTGTCGTGCAGGGTGCAACTTAATGCAGCTATATGCAAATCAAATTTGTAATTTTCTGAACATTTTTCCAATCAAACTTTTCTTTCTTTTTATCCCAGTAAAAAGCATATAAATCATTTACCATGGGCTTTGGTCTCTTAACACATACATAAAGAGAGGCACAAGTATTTTAAGAAATTACCAGCGGCAATTCCTTGGAGAATATATGGTATCTGAACTCCGCAGCCAGCTCTTGTAAGGGATTCGGTCCACTCACATAACAGTGGACATCAAGAAACAAATTGCCTTTCACTTCTGTCCATTCAGCAACCACATCATCCTTATTATACCACCCTTTCAACTGATATCGAAAATGTGGCACGAGAATTGAAATCAAATTACAAAAATTTCAAAACCAGACACAGCTTAAGGATAAGCACTTGCTCGTTCAGAAATGCAAAATGTCATACCTGATCGTATTGGATATTATTTGAGATGGTTAATGTGAGATTCGCAGTAAAATCACAATGGGAGAGGGTATATGTCCGTGGCACAATAGTGGAGTATGTATCAACTTCTTCTCCTTTTAACAAGACTTCCAACTTTGATGCTTCAAATCTTGCTGGAGGACCCAAGAGCCTAACAGCCTGGACGTCATGACCAAAAAAAAAGAAGTAATTATTTAAATTAAGAACTCAAAGTCAATATTTTGAGTTTTGCAACATAGTTGTCATGATTGATCATCCTCATATGAAAAGCCGAGGTCTATCTAGTTGAATGAGAAGTTTTTGATTCATCTTCATTATAGGCAGACAACACTACAAAGATAAAGTGACAGACATATAAAAGAAATTGATACATCATCAGTAACATCTATGTAAGAAACGATCGTCTCAGTAGGCACACTCAAAAGACAGAAAGTTTATGAGGAGAAGAAGGAAGATGAGACTCCCCAAACATGCAGAGGAATGTAATAAATAATGTAATTGTGCAGATGAATGTAATGAATAATGTAAAAGGATCTATGTTTTTCAGTCAGGAAGATATAGTTGTCAAGCCTTCTCTTTGCTTTTATGGTGGAACGGATGATTGGCCAATTTGGAGTATTGATAATCA